GATAATCCAGGACAGCTTCTCTGTCTCTGGATCCTCAGCCTTAGCTGCAAAGTCTTCTCTTATCAAACAAAGCAACTCTACATTCCAGGGGTTAGGACATGGACGGTCAGCTTACCGTGGGTCTTTTTACAATTACATTACACAATGTTAACTTCAGTTGTTTCTTACTGTGTTTTCTGATAAGTAATATTTCTAACTGAATTTTACGGAAAGTATAAATACATCGATTTTCTTTTCTGTCCACATATTACTTTCCATCTTTGTATACTCAAACTTTTTGTATCCTAATATTTAAAGTTTTTCTAAGAAGCAGAGTTTGATTTTTAAAAAAATCTAACTCATTATATAGCCTTTTTGCATTCAACTACTGATTTATTGGGGTTGATATTTACTATTTGTGTTCTATATTTGTGCCTTTACCATTCTTGACTTTCTTTGCATTAATCAAATGCTTTACAGCATTCCAATTTCCTTCTATTAAGTTACATTTTAAAATAATTTTTAGTTGTAAGCCTGGAGCTCAAAACATGCATTTTTACTTATTAAAATCCAATGTAAATTATTACTTCCACTACTTGGCAGATACCAATTAAACCGTAGGACTTTTAAACTCCACTTACTCCTGTCTCATCATTCATGTAACTGTTACAATGCATGTTGGAAATATTTAAAACTGAAACTCCTCAGGGTGCTGTAATTATTATTTCATAAAGCCGCAGTTCATTTATCTGTTTCTTCCCCGTGCTCTTCTTGCCCTCTTGCATGTTCACATTTCTAACTGGGATCATTTTCCTGAAGAACTACCTTTAATTTTTATTTCTGTACAGGCCCACTGGTGCTTAATTCTTTCAATTTCTGTTTGCTTGAAGTTATCCTCACTTCACTTCAATTTTGAAGGGTACGTCTGTGGTACATAAGTCTGGGCTTACTTATCTTCTTCCAATATTTGACTTATGTTATAGTGACTTCTGGTTTCCATCACTGCAGTTGGAAAGCTATCAGTTTGATTGCTGTTTCTTTGAAAGTTAACTACGGAGGATTAAAGATGGGTCACACAGTCTTTGTCCCTACTAGCATATGGAGGCTATAAATCCCCTGCCCTCAGTTTTGAGCAAGCTCTGGGACTCACTGTAATAATCAGGATGTAGGGAAGTGGTGCTGCTCCAGTTCTCAATAGACTCCAAGTGGTCTGGATCCTTTGGCTGTCACCCTCTGGGAGCCCTGAGCTGTAATGTAAAAAGGTCCTACTGTGCTGCTGCAGAATCCACGTGAAGAGAGGATTTCCAACTGTGGCTAAGCTATTGCAGCCATCCTGGCTCAGACTCCAATCTTTTGAACAATGCCACCCTCGGCAGCCACCCCCAGGGGAGGCTGTGGCACAAGTTACTCCAGGTGAGAGTGCAGAACCTTGGAGCAAAGAATGGTTTTGTTTTAAGCTAGTAAATTCTGCAGTAGTTTGTTAGGTAGAAAGAGAGAATGGAAATAGTCTTTGGTATTAGGATAAAGTGCTGCCATGAATAGAAATTGAAAATATGTGTTATTGATTTTGGGAATGAGTTACAGATGTCTGCTGAAAGACCAGCAATAAGACGATTAATGGAGGCTGAGAGAGTGCTTAGGATACTGGGGAGGAGAGAAGGTGCATTTACCTGCTGGGGTAGAAAGAAGGCAAGTTCCCTACCGCCCAAACAAGTGGTCAGGCTGCATTTGGGAAGACGGAAGAAACACCTAACGAAGTGGTAGACCTGGCTAGGGTTTCTGGAAAGAATGCTGACAATGACACGTGGTTTTTGAAAAAAATACCTATGATGAGCTATTCAAAGAGAAATAACTAAACCAGTTTTTAAAAATCTAAGGGAGAATGGTTTCAATCTGAGAAGCGCAGTGATAGAATCTGAAACTTTCTCATTACGACTCCTCCAGTCAGCAGAAGGTTTTAAAGCTAAGAAGAAGAAGAAGAAAAAAAAAAAAAAAAAAGAAAAGAAAAGAAAACCGAGGGTGCTATCAGTAAAACTATATCTTTAGATCCAGGGCAAAATCAAGGGCATGATAGTAGGACCGTTTGTCACTACTGCCTTGGAAAGAATTTGATCAGCCATAACAGGCCCTCTCAGTCAGACAAAAGGCATGTAAGAATTCTAAGGGCGAGCCGGCGCCGTGGCTCAATAGGCTAATCCTCCACCTTGCGGCGCCGGCACACCGGGTTCTAGTCCCGGTTGGGGCGCCGGATTCTGTCCCGGTGGCCCCTCTTCCAGGCCAGCTCTCTGCTATGGCCAGGGAGTGCAGTGGAGGATGGCCCAGGTGCTTGGGCCCTGCACCCCATGGGAGACCAGGAAAAGCACCTGGCCCCTGGCTCCTGCCAGGATCAGCGCGGTGCGCCGGCTGCAGCGGCGGCCATTGGAGGGTGAACCAGCGGCAAAGGAAGACCTTTCTCTCTCTGTCTCTCTCTCTCACTGTCCACTCTGCCTGTCAAAAAAAAAAAAAAAAAGAATTCTAAGGGCATTGTCTGTAACTCACTGTCAAATAGACACAGGCCTTCTTGGGGAATATGTGAGTGTGGCTTCTGCCTGATAGACTGGTTTATCACCTGTCCAGGAAGTTTTTTTTAAAGGAGTTGTGCCAGTTTGGTCAAAAAGGGATAGGAAATCAGGAAACAGGCTGAGAAAACTCTTCAGGACATTTCTTACTGAAAAGGGAAGATAACTTGGAAAAAACGTCAACCGCTGAGAAGCAGATGAAGGAATCAACCCAGGGAAGCAAAACGGGCCCTAATCATGGAATATTCTCCCCCCCCCACCACATAGAGTGGGGGACTGGTGACTTATAGCCAGATGATTTCAGAAGTGCCACGGTGTGGGGGGGCAATGTTGTGGCACACCAGGTAAGCCACTGCCTACAATGCCGGCATCCCACACGGGTGTTGGTTCAAGCTCTGGCTGCACCACTTCCAATCCAGCTCCCTGCTAATTTGCCTGGGAAAGCAGTGGAAGATGGCCCAAGTTCTTGAGCCCCTGAATACTGTGGGAAACCTGGATGCAGTTCCGTGTTCCTGGCTTTGGACTGGCCCAGCCCTGGCCATTGCAGCCATTTGGGGAGTGACTGGAAGATCTGTCTTTGTCTCTCCCTAACTCTGCCTTTCAAATAAATAAAACTGCCATGGGATTGCTGAATGCCTTATATTGTCTTGCTTTTAAACTAACAGAGCACTTATTCTTCATATCAATGTAGGCTGTGTTTGTGTATGTGCAGCAGATTCATCTTTTAATTCAAAGGTCTGCAGATGAAAAGAAGTTGAACCCGAGGAGCCTCTTGCATAAATACAAGCAGACTCTGAGCCTGATGTCAGAACTGGATGAGACTTTGGGGATCTTGGCAAGGGTGAGTGTGTGTTGCATGCAGGAAGAATTTAAACATACCTACAAAGGGTCTTCAAAAAGTTTATGGAAAATGCACATTATGAAAAAAATGCATGATTACAAACTTTTTTGCAATAAAATGAATTTATTTTTATATTCCATTTATCATGAATTTCCTGAAGTGCCCCTGCATGGAAGGTATGTTATCTTGTCTGTCCAGTCCCAGCTGTATGAGTGACTTTAGGCGAGGTGGGCACATCTCGAGGGCTGGCTGACAGAAGAACTGTGAACAGATGGCTGCTGTTTTACACCACCACATTCTGGAGCTGTATGCCACGTGCAGCAAGATTTAACTGAGACACAAATGACCAGTTCCCTTTGGGCTGCTCTTAAGCTTCAGGTTCTCAGTGGTTTTAGCGTGACGCACCTGGGTGTGATCTTCTTTGCATTTGTACTGCCTGGAGTTTGCTGAGCTTCCATTTTTCATCCGTTTTGGAAAATTCTTTCTCATTTCTTCTTTTTTTTTTATTTATTTTTTTATTTTTTGACAGGCAGAGTGGACAGTGAGAGAGAGAGACAGAGAGAAAGATCTTCCTTTGCCGTTGGTTCACCCTCCAATGGCCACCGTGGCTGGCGCGCTGCGGCCAGCGCACCACGCTGATCCGATGGCAGGAGCCAGCTACTTATCCTGGTCTCCCATGGGGTGCAGGGCCCAAGGACTTGGGCCATCCTCCGCTGCACTCCCTGGCCACAGCAGAGAGCTGGCCTGGAAGAGGGGCAACCGGGACAGAATCCGGCGCCCCAACCGGGACTAGAACCCGGTGTGCCGGCGCCGCAAGGTGGAGGATTAGCCTAGTGAGCCGCGGCGCCGGCCCTCATTTCTTCTAATGTGGTTTCTGTCACACTCTTTCTTTTCTACCTCTGAGATTCTAATTATATGCATATATATGTTGCAATTTCACCACGTTTCACATGTTCTTACCTGTTTTTTCCTATTTTTCCTCTCCTTGGTTCAGTTTACATATTTTTCTCATTCACAAAATCTGAGCTCTGCTGTATTCAACATCACATTAGAGTGTCTGATACCTCCCCCCTTTAAAGATTTATTTATGTATATGAAAGGCAGAGTTAACAGAGAGAAAGGGAGAGACAGAGAGGTCTTTCAGCCACTGGTTCACTCTCCAAATGGCCACAATGGCTAGAGCCGCACCGATCTGAAGCCAGGAGCTTCTTTCTGGGTCTCCCAAGTGGGTGCAGGGGCCCAAGCACTTGGGCCATCTTCTACTGATTTCCCAGGCCATCAGCAGGGAGCTGAATCCTAAGTGAAGCAGCCAGGACTCAAACCAGCACTCAAATGGGATGCCGGCCCCGCAGGTGGAGGCTTAACCTACTATACCGCAGCACCAGCCCCAATTATGATTACTTTAACGTCCTTATCTGCTAACCCTGTATCAGGATACTCTTTTTTTTTTTTTTTTTTTTTTTTTGTGTTTTTTTTTTTTTTTTTAACTTTTATTTAATGAATATACGTTTCCAAAGTACGAATAATGGATTACTATGGCTTCCCCCCCATACCGTCCCTCCCACCCACAACCCTCCCCTTTCCCACTCCCTCTCCCCTTCCATTCACATCAAGATTCATTTTCGATTATCTTAATATACAGAAGATCAGCTTAGTATACATTAAGTAAGGATTTCAACAGTTTGCTCCCACACAGAAACATAAAGTGAAAAATAATAGATGATTTTTTTTAATGATGATGAAATCAGATCAGACCTATTGTCATGTTTAATCCCAGTGAGAGTCAAGTTGGGAGTTGATAGTTTCTATTCTGTATCAGGATACTCTATGCGTCTGCTCCTCTTGACTGTACTTGCCTGGCTGTCAATCACATGACCCTGCTTCTCTGAACTGTATTCAGTCCTTGTGTACTCAGAACCACAGAAACTCCAGAGGATGCCACACTTCATCAGGGCGGGTTTCCCCTTCACTCTTGGCACATCAGGTGAGGTCTGATCCACTCACTCCTGTCATCTGGGTTGTGGCTTGCTTACAGTTCAAGGACTTTGTCTTAGAGTTTCCCAACCCACCTCAGTCTCCCATATGCAGCATCAAGATAACTCCTGAAGGCAAGACCAGCCATGGGCTGCAGGCTGGCTGCCACCTGGCGTCCTTGTTTCCTAAGCAGTGTGTGAGTTATTTCACTCCACCTTCTTAAAGTTTTCAGCTGAATTCCCCAGGCTCCTGTGTGGCCTTAGCTGTAATTAAATGTTCCTTGGAGAAAAACTAGCCATGTGTTTGCTTTCCAACCTGTTAATCCTACCTTGAGCAACTGCTAAAAGCTTCACTGGTTTCTCCTTTCCCCAGCACTGGCCTTCTCCCTGGGCTGAGCCCAACCCCTAGCACACACCCAGGATCAGTTAAGCGCTCCCGGAGGGGAGAGACAGCTGGCAATCGACAGTTCACCTTGGGAAGGTTCTTCTGTCACTAGTAATTTAGTTCTTTCATATTTTGTTGCCTCCATAGCTTTCTGATGCCTTTAGAAACATGATTTTAAAAGTTTATCTTTCTTTTTAAAAAGTTATGGCAATTCACCGACCTTCCTTGGCCTATTATATCCCAACTGAGATATTAATTCTGTATCTGCATTAATGTTTAATCTATTATCTCACTAAATTCTCTTATTCTTTGGGGTTTTCTGGACATATGATCTTATCATCAGGCATCCTGAATACGCCTGTCTTCCCTATCCACCTCAATGCCTCTAAGTGCGTGCTGAGTAGTAGCAAATATACTGGACATTCTTGTCTTGTTCTCGGCTTTGGTGGGAAAGCATCTAGAAGGTATCTGGGAGGGTCGTGGCCTTTCTACTGAGAAAAGGAAGAGAAATACGCACCAGTTCTTAACTTAGAGTTAATGTGGCAAGTCGGTGTTGAATGTGTCCAGGCATGTATGTGATTCTGACTCCCCCCCCTTATCAATATGAAGATTTATATGAATGGTTTTTACTTTTTGCATTCTGGTCAGAGAGTGCTATTTTTATTTTTCTGGAATTTATCTGAATTTGTTCACTGCTCTGACATCATCAAGTTTCATGAATATTCTAGTTTCAAACAAAGAAAAGATATATTTTCTATTATTAAAATTTTGAGTTTTATATGTTTAACAAGGTCGGTCCTACAATTACACTTTAGTTTTTTTATATCCTTCCTATCTTTTTTGTCTATTATTATAATATTATTATTAATGGTGAAAAAATAGATATTCCTTCTTAAAAAATATCTATTTTATTTGAAAGTCAGATTTATAGGGAGGGAGAGGCAGAGGCAGAGGCAGAGGTAGAGGCAGAGGCAGAGTTCTTCCATCTGCTGGTTCACTCCCCAAATGGCTGCAACAGCCCTGGCTGGGCCAGGCCGAAGCCAAGAGAGAGGAGCTTCATTGGGGTCTCTCATGTGGGTGCAGGGGCCCAACAACTTGGGCCATCCTCCTCCGCTTTTCCAGGTGCATCAGAAGAGAGCTGGATTGGAAGTGGGGCAGCTGGGACATGACTGGCACCCATATGGGATGCTGGCACTGCAGGCAGTGGCTTTACCTGCTGTGCCACAGTGCCAGTCCCGAAACTCTATATATTGAGAATTAGCCAGCTGAACTCAGTTTGGAGGATCTCCATAATTTTTTTGGCAATACACAAGGCATCATAATCAGGGGTCCCTTCTCCTAGTTCAATGTCAGAGTCTCTTTACTGCCTGTTTGGTCTGGTGCTTGCTGGCTTTGACATCCACAATAAGCACACGTGTGGTGTTGCCTTCTGTCTTCTTCATGGCACACTCAGTGGTCAGGGCCTAGTGGTGACGCCTGTTTGTCCTAGTGACACTTCCAAGGACGTCAGAACTGTAGGGTCTGGGGCCACTGGAAGGTGGGAGAGCTCAGTTCTTTGTTTTGCGGCTGGAGATGCCTCTCGGCACTCCATTACTGGCTTTGAAAGCCTTGCTCTGGCTTGAGACCTGGGAGAGGCAAGAGCTGCCTTTTACTTTTTTTTTTACTTTTAATTGCGGTATATTCTATTTTCTCTGAATCTCCTTTAGTTTCTGCTTTATGAAATTTTTCTTAGTTAACATGTAAACAAATATTAATAAATTATTATTATTGTTATTTTAAAGATTTTATTTATTTGACAGGTAGAGTTATAGACAGTGAGAGAGAGACAGAGAGAAAGGTCTTCCTTCCGATGGTTCACTCCCCAAATGGCCGCAATGGCCAGAACTGAACTGATCCGAAGCCAGGAGCCAGGAGCTTCTTCCGGGTCTCCCATGCAGGTGCAGGGGCCCAAGCACCTGGGCCATCTTCTACTGCTTTCCCAGGCCACAGCACAGAGCTGGACTGGAAGAGGAGCAACCGGGACTAGAACCGGTGCCCATATGGGATGCTGGCACCGCAGGTAGAGGATTAAACTAGTGCGCCACAGCGCTGGCCCCCCAATAACAAATTATTATAAAACAAATATTGCAACTTCATGGTGAACTGTTATCTTCAGTAATACAAAATTTATTTCCTTGTCACTTCAAACTTTTTTGGTATTTTTAATAAACTTATGTAATTTGTTTATCTGAGGCAGATAAAGAGGGGAAGAGAAAAAGCTCCCATCTTCTGGTTTACTACTCAACTGCCCACAATGGCTGGCGCTAGGCTGGGACCACAGTCAGGAGCCAGGAACCAAATCCAGGTCTCCCAGGTGGGTGGCATGAATTTAACTACCTGAGCTACGCATGGTGTGCACTGGCAGGAAACTTGAGTCAGGAGCCAGAGCTGGAAATTGAACCCAGGTGCTCCGGTATGGGGTGTGGGCATCTTAACTTCTATGCCAAATGCCTGTCCCAAGTTTTTTTTAATCTTAATTTTATCTTGCTAGGTTTGGAGATCAAAAACATGTTGTATCATTTTTATAAGTTATATTAAAAATAGATTTAGTTATTTATTTGAAAGGCAGAGTGACAGAGGGAGAAAGAAGTTGGGAGGAGAGAGACAGATTTGTTCACTCCCCAGTGGCTGCAAAAGTTGGGGCTGGGACAGGCTTAAAATAAGAGCCAGGAACTCAATCTGGGTTTCCCTGGTAGGTGACGGGGACCCAAATACTTGGGTCATCTTCCTCTGCTTTTCCAGGTGCATTAGCAGGGAGCTGGATCAGAAGCGGAGCAGCTGGGATGAGAACCTGGGCCCATATGAGATGCTGGCATTGCAGGCGGCAGCTTAACTTGTAGCATCCAATGCTGGGCCCCAGAGCCATTATTAAGTCTTGATCCTCCAGGCAAATACACAATGTTTGCTTCTCGTTCCTTACACCAATGTGGTGTAGTCACTTTGGTGGTCTGAAGTTCATTCTCCAGTCACAGACCTCTCAAGAAGGGGCCTGCAGGAACAACATTCATTGCATGCTCATCACATTTACCAACAGACTCTATACCAACAGTCAATCTGGAAGCGCATGAAATCCTTGGCTCATATTTTTTTTTTTCTTTAAGTATCTTAAATGTGTTATTCCATTTTCTCTCGGAATCAAGAATCACTGTAGAAAAATCTGGTAACATTTGCTTTCTTTCTTTTACTTGAATGTCCCAAAGAATTTCTTCATTTTAAAAAGTTTTATTGGAATTTTTTTAAGATTTATTTCTTTGAAAGACAGAGTTACAGAGAGGCAGAGATAGAGAGAGGGAGAGAGAAGTCTTCCATCCGCTGGTTGACTCCCCAGATGGCTGCAATGGCTGAAGCTGCGCCGATCTGAAGCCAGGGGCCAGGAGCCAGGAGCTTTTTCCGGGTCTCCCATGTGGGAACAGGGGCCCAAGGACTTGGGCCATCTTCTACTGCTTTCTGAGGCTGCAGCAGGGAGATGGATTGGAAATAGAGCAGCTGGGACTCGAACCAGTGTCCATATGAGATGCCAGCATTGCAGGCGGCAGCTTCACCCAACGCCACAGCACCGGCCCCTAGGATATTTTTTAGAATTGGCCATTTTTGGTTGTTTTTCCCAAGCACAAGGAATGCCCTTTCAATTTGAAATTTCAATTCTGTCTTTTATTTTAGGAATATTTTCTTGAATTATAATTTTTAATGATTTGTTTTGTTTCATTGCTTTAGTTTCTACTTTAGGATCCCTGTTCTGCATACATTGGGTCTTTATTTTTCCTTTCTTCAATATTTACAATATTTATCACTTTTTTCCAGATTCTTTTTTTTTTTTTTTTTTAAAGATTTAATTATTTTATTTGCTTGAATGGTATTGCTGCTGATTGTTCTGGGTATGTCCTTTTAGGCAAATGTATTTTACAGAAGTAAGACTTGCTGAGTGTTATTTAAATCTAGTTTTGAATATGTTTTTCCTAGCATACTCTCATCAATTCTTCTACTTCTTTTTCTTTTTTAAGATTTACTTACTTGAAAATCAGAGTTATGGTGCAGGGTGGGGAGAGATATCTTTCATCTGCTGGTTTACTCTCCAGATGGCTGCAGTGGCCAACGCTGGGCTAGGCTGAAGCCAGGAGCCAGGAGTCAGGGGCTTCATCCAGGTCTCCTACAGAGGTGCAGAGGCCCAAACACTTGGGTCTTCTTTCTGCTGCTTTCGCAGGCTGTTAGCAGGGAGCTGGATCAGAAGTGGAGCAGCTGGGACACGAACCAGCACTCATACGGGATGCCAGTGTCACAGGGCAGCGTTTCCACGCCGCAATGCTGGCCCTCATCAATTCTTTTTAATTCTCTGTTTTACTTCACTTACTTTTCTCAATCCTACCTTCTGGGTCCCTTTCTGTGATTGTGCTACATTCTCCTTGTTGCTTCTTCCAATCTGGTCATTGTTTCTGTGATTACTGCTTCTATTTGTTTCTTGTGTTCCACCTGGTACTCAAGTTTCATAAGCAGGTTGGGAATACCTCATCTGGAAATGTGGAATCTCCAAAATACTAAAGGTCTGAGTGCTGACACAACACCCTAGGCAGAGAATTCCACCCCTGACACCATGTGATAGGTCACAGTCAGACACTGAAATTGTGGCGTACAGTTACATTCAGGCTTATGTGCACAAAGTATATATGAAATATAAATGGACTTCATGTTTAGACTTGGGTTCCACCCTCAAAATAGTGCATTTTGTATAGGCAAATATTCCAGTATCTCAAAAAATCTGAAGTTTGAAATATTTCTGGTTTTAAGAATTTCAGATAAGGGATATGCAATCTGTATTTCTGTTTTCTATTCCTGTTTTTACATTCTTTGCTCTACTCTACTTTTTTTTATATTTTAGCTTCACGATCTTTATTCAACAAGACAACTGTTCAGTATGATTTTTAGATTCACAAAGGAAAGTTTAGTTTGAATTGCAAGTAGTTTCATGATAAGAGTTTTCTACAAAGTGTTTTTTTTAGTAAGTTTTGCCTTTCTTTCTAATAGCTTTCTTCCATTTTAATTTCAGCGTCGTGTCTGCTGTTTTTATTACTCAGGACTGTGGCTAGGCTACCTGTAGGAAGTTCCTTCAGGCAGTGGACTTCTGCTGATGTTTTCTGAACTTGCTATCCAGCCCTAGCTTCTGCTTCCAAGTCATCCTGAGTGGCTTCTGTGTCTATCTTAACCATGTTTGGGAATCTTCACCTTTCTGGACTTCGGGATCGTTATCTGTTGTGCCCTAACTTAATTATAAATGGACGATGGCTTCTCCATGTGTGGCATCCAGATGAGGAAGGAGGCTGCTATCTCACACTAATACTGGAAATGAGCTTGTTCTCTTAATTACTGTATTACCTCTCAAATGTTATCTGATAAGAAAGAGATGCTTAGCCATAAAATAACTGATTTAAAATAAAAAAAAAACCCTCTTTACATTTCCAACACACAGAAGTAGATGAGTGTTAGAGACTCTCACTGTATTTTTTTGCAGGCTCTATTGCAGTTTCATTAATATCTGGTTTCATGATTTCAACGGAAAAGGTTTCAAAATATCTTCCCCATCCACCATCCCAAAATGCCAAATATTCCTCATGACCAGAACAATGTCTAACTTATTTCACAGAGATTCCACGGTTTCCAATACCACCACCACTATAAACTGTGTTAGAGTAGGAAAGAGAAAACCGCTTAGGTAAGTTTCACCACAGAACGTAAATAAAAAGAGGCAAACAAGAATACTAACCAAGTGATGGAAAAGGGATCGAAACATTCTGAGTGGGGTTACCTCACATTATCCCTTTAGTCATCAAGTAATATGTGATGAACAGAAGAGGCTGGAGTCATTCAGGGACAACCAATCTAGAAACAGGAGTTTTCAGCTTTCCTGTAGGGGGACTTACCTTTTCCAAAACTTTGGCAATTCGGGTGCCAATTTGTTCAAGTGACTGCTGCGGATACTGGTCTTTGCCAAGATTCTGCAGTACCTGCAACAAGAATTATAGTGGATCAGAGGAGTGAGAGGCAGATGCCGCTGACGCTGAGTTGAGCCTACACAACAGAAGCCTCTGCTTTTCTGGGACAGTTGCGGGGGCTTCGTGGGGAGGCTGTCTGTGGAAGACACGCCCAAGGCTGCTTTACTTTCCCCTTTGTCTCTCCCACTTCACAATCAGAGTGTAACACACATTCACTAAAGCAACATTAGCAAAGAGAAAGGAAGAAAGAAACACTCACTTGTAATCTCGTTGCCCATCGTTGCCCACATGTAGCCACTGCTAATATCTTCTTTTTGTCTTTCAGATTTTTTCTATGATACACACATTACTGTTCTCTCAAAATACAGTACTACAGTACATACTGTTTTCTAAGTTTTCACATAACACATTCGCAACATTGCTATGCCAATAAAACTATTTCTACTACATCTTCTCTAATGGTGCCACTGTATACTATTTCACATCTATACCAAAATTTATTTAACCACTCCTCTACCAGTGGACATTTGTGACACGTTTCTCCAAGTCTTGTCCTAGGAATCTTATTTGCTAGGAATGCACTAGGTCTGCCCTCTTCCCCTTTCTTCTTCTTCTTCTTTTTTTTTAAAGATTGATTTTATTTATTTGAGAGTCAGAGTTAGAGAGAAAGATAGAGATGGAGAGGTAGAGATGGAGAGAGAGGTTTTCCATCTGCTGATTCACTCCCCAAATGGCTGCAATGGCTGGCGTAGAATTGATCAGAAGCCAGGAGCCAGAAGCTTCTTCCCGGTCTCCCACATGGGTGCAGGGGCCCAAGGACTTGGGCCATCCTCCACGGCTTTCCCAGGCCACAGCAGAGAGCTGGATCCAAAGTGGAGCACTAAGACTCAAACCAGCACCCATACGGGATGCTGAGGCTTCAGACCAGGGGTTTAACCTGCTGTGCCACAGCACCTTCCCTGCTCCCCTTTCTTCTTAAGAGTGCGAATAAGAGGATTAATTGTCCAAACATTTCTATCAAGAGCCTCTATGTCATAGAAGGGCAGGCCACTACCCACTTGACAGGTAAATCAGAGTTAGACTTTCATAGTTAAAAAAAAAAAGCTTATATTTAGTTCCAGGGCTTAAAAAATATTAGGCTTGGCCCAAAGCTACCCAGAAAACAGTCAACCGAAAAAAGGCAGAAAAATCAGCGCTAGTCACTTGTGCTTTCTGGTACCAGCTGCACCGTCACTGAGTCTAGAAGTACAACAGGCTGCGGCTGGAGTGTGGCATAGTGGGTAAAGCCACATATAGGAGCTGGTTTGAGTCCCAGCTGTTCCATTTCCAGTCCAGCTTCCTGCTAATGCACCAGGGAAAGCAGCAGAGGATGGTCCAAGTGCTTGGGCCCCCACACCCATGAGGGAGACCCAGAAGAATCTCCTGGCTCCTGGCTCCTGGCTTTGGATTGACTCAGCTCCACTTAGGGAGTGAACCAGTGAATGGAAGACTCTCTCTCTCTCTGTAACTCTGCTTTTCAAATAAATAAATAAATCTGTAGGGGGAAAAAAAGAGTACAGCAGGCCATGCAAAGCTGAGCACTCACCTCTGTTAACTGACTCTCACCCGTGTAGTGCAGACTGGCTCGGTTCGAAACCCCGTGCAGGTGGTCCAGGGTATGCATACTCGTGGGTAGGTTGCCATTGCAGAGGGGCTCCATCGCTGGCTGCTGTATTGGGGTGGCAAAGTCTATGTGTTCTGTGATGCTGAAAAATGGAGATTACCATATTAAATGTGGAAAATGTGGGTGGGAAGGAGAAAGAACATTAGCAATCAGCTGATCGACACTTCAATAAGCTATCCCTTTAGTGGTTTCTACCTTTTTATTTTCCTTTATGCACAGAAGCACCCTTCTCCCTATAGAAATACTACTCAAAGTTCAGAGGATACATTTACAGATACAGCTGGGCATTATGTCTGCGTATAAGATGTGAGCATGCGGGATGTGCCTTTGGTGCAGTGGTTAATATGCCGCATATTAATAAATATCCACATCCCCTATCAGAGCGCCTAGGTTCAAGTTCCAGCTCTGTTTCTGGTTACAGCTTCCTGTTAACATGCGCCCTGAGAGGCAGCAGTGCTGGCTCCAGCGCCACTCATGTGGGAGACTTGGGTTGAGTTTCTGGCTCCTGGCTTTGGCCTGGCCTAGCCCTTGCCAGCAGATGAGGGAGACCACTGTCTGTCTCTCTGCCTTTCAAAAAAAAAAAAAAACAAAAAAACAAAAAAAAACTCCTTTCATGTATTTCCCACTAGGCACAGACTAAATATTATATAGACTGTCCTATGCACTAACAGTATCTCCAGTTTCATTCCCAGCTATGTAATAAGTTGGACATGCATTCACTGACTCGCTCACTGATTTACTCAGAGCCTATTGTGTGTCACATACTGTAACTAAAATAATTAAGAAAACTCACACAGTCCCTGCGGTTAGGGTGCTCATGGCCATGTGGGGCACCTATTACAGATGAGGCAGGTTACGACAGACACCTAGCACACCGACAGTACACCACAGCAGGCTATGTCTGTCTCCTTTGTTATGGAGAAGCGGGTGGTTAGTAAAGGCTTCTCTGAGGAGGTACGATTTAAGCTGAGGGCTTGGTGCTAGCATAGCAGCTAAGATACTACTTGGGGGACTGGCATTCCATTCCCAAGTGCCTGCATTTGAGTCACAGCTCTGCTTCTGATTCTAGCTTCCTGTTAACACCGATACTGGAATGCAGCAGGTGATGGTTCAAGTAGTTGGGTCCCTAACTGCACTGAGTTCTTGGCTCCTGGCTTTGACTTTGCCCAGGCCCTGCTCTTGGCAGGTATTTAGGCAGTGAACTAGATGATGAGAGCTGCGTGGTTGTCTCTGTTTCTCTGCCTCTCAGATTAAAAGGTGGGAGGGGCATTGTAGCACTGCAGGTTAAGCCACTGCTTGCAATGATAGCGTCCCATATTGGAATGCTGGTTCAATTCTCTGATGCTCCACTTCTGATCCAACTTCCCACAAACGTGCCTGGGAGAGCAGAGAATGATAGTCCAAGTACTTGGGCCCCTGCCACCCATATGGAAGACCAGGATGGAGTTCCTAGCTCCTGGCTTTGACCTGGCCCAGCCCTGACTACTGTGCCCATTTGGGGAGTGAACCAGTGGATGGAAGACTTCTTTCTCTTTGCTTCTGCCTCTTCCCCTCTGTAACTCTACCTTTCAAATAAATAGATCTTTACCTCCCCCTGCCTCCACACACACACACACACACACACACACACACATACACGCACACAGAAGTCCAGCTAGGGAGTTCTTGAATGAACCCATGTGTAGATGATGTTGTTCTAGTTTGAGGAGGCAGCAATGGAGATGGAGAACAGCACATGGAGTGGAAGCGACCAGATTAGTTAAGGGAGTGGGGTTTGAGGGATCTCGCCTAAGCACTGCCAGAGCTGTGCACCAAGAATAAGAAATGAGCAAACAAAATGAATCATTTTTTGGATGGAGCACTGGCAAGAAAATTTTGAGTTTCCTTTTCCTGAACATGAGGTGCCAGAGAGAGTTCTAGATTGAGAGATCAGGCAGGTAACTCTGGGTAAATGGGTAGAAGGTAGACCTTGAAAAAAGGTCTGGTCTTGAGATCCAAATTTGGGAGCCGTCAAGAAGCTGGTGAGGCCCTGGGAGCAGGTCAGGCCGACTAGGAGTGATTACACAGTGGGAGGCTTACTGCTAAGTCCTGGAGAGCTCTCAGCACTTAATCGCTAGAAAAGGGGCCAGCAAGAGGATGAATGTCCAGGGAGGAAACAGCTATCACAGAGGCACCCTTGCTTGTTTTGTATCTTGGCAGGAAATCTGGATCTGCTCAGCTTCCCCTACAAGCTCATGCAGTCTATGAGAGCCCATGGATTTTGTGCTTCCAGAGAGACCCAGTCTTTTAATTCAAACTAAGTGAGTTATATGTGTCTTCCAGAGAGCTTACAAAGTGTGAGTGCAGGCACTGGAAGGGGGACGCATCCACCAGTCTCTACAGTGGGCTGAGTCCACCTGGGGGCTGTGGTCAGCAAGGGTCATCCTTTGATCTGCCAGCTCTAGGAAGGGTGACACGTCTAAGCTGCTGACAGAGATGGCAGCCCTGAAGCCAGCTGATGCCCAGGGAGCTCAATGGTCCACACAGGCCATGAGCAAGGAGAGGTTCGAGATACTCACTCGATGTTTTTTGAAGAAACTGCAAGCCAGGTGCTCACAATGGCAGTCAGCTCTACCCAGCGGAGTTTGAGGCATTCGTCTGGGCTGGGCCATCCCAGACTCTGGTAGTCACGTTTTTTTCCTGGAAGAAAAGTATGTCACAGATCTGTACCACTGCCAAGGAACAGAAGCCACAGTGCCGCGTGCCCTGGTGACTGCTTCACCCAGACTGTAATATTTGGTGATGCCAGTCATTTTTCTAGTCTTCAGAATGTTCACCGTCTACAGATCTCATTGAAATCGTCTCAGTTATGGCAACGGGAATAAAGATCATCTTTGAGTAAAGCCTTATTCACCTTATAGATGGTGAAGTAAATTGGATTTGAGACTAACATGAAACAAGGGTTAAGATATTCTTCAAAGTTAACATTCTAACCAAACTGAGTTTTCACTTCTTCTACATTTTGATTTTATAAGGACAACTCTTAGCAGAAACATTTATCACTAAAGCAAGTTTTCTCCACTCAGCACTACTGACATTTCCAGCTGCATAGCTCTTCGTCGTAGGGACCTGCCCTGTGCATTGGAGGGTGTTTCCTGGCATTGCTGGTATCCACCCACTAGATGTCAGTAGTACCTGCCCCTAGATGTAAAACCAAAAATGTTTCCAGATAGTGCCAGATGTCCCCCTGCGGGCAGAATCACCCCATGCAGAAAACTACTGCTGGGAAGGAAAGATGACAATGAAAAGTTACCTTTTTTTTTTAAGAGCAATTACTGTGTGTTCATTTACTATGCTAAATGCTTTACATTCATAACCTTATGAGATGAGTTTAAATTCTCATTTCTCAGAGGAGAAAAGAGAGGCTCAACAAGGTTAAGTGACTTGTCTGAAATTACCTGGCTAGCAGGTGGCAGAGCTGGGGTCCAGATCCAGGTCTGTTGGACTCTAACACGCATGCTCCCAGGCGCCACCCTATTTAAAGTTACACGGGGCTTTCTCATATCCTTCCCAGGAACTACCTTGTGGGTCTAGGCCCTCTACATGGACCAAGTCCTCAAGAAAAGAACTAAGTCTTGCCTGGGAAGGGATCTTCTGCAGGAATTACAATGGAATGGAAAGGTAGGAGAACTGTAACTTTTTATTCTGTAGGACTTTACTAACAACAGAAAACTGTGTGAGGTACAGGCAGAGGTTTAAATTTAGATTTTAATAAAATAGACGAGAATAGTTTGGAAGTTTCAGATTAACTCTGTTTAAATTAATAACTTAAATAAACCATAAGTTTCACAATAAAGCTTTTATGTTTCAGAAATTTGTTTGAAAAATATTTATTGCGCACCTATTATAAGGGGCTAGGAAAGTTAGGATGCTAGGGATACAGACAGGAATAATAAGGTGGCCTGCTCTTGAGCTCACAGTCTAGTGAGGAAGGTAGACGTTAACAAATCATTATAAATACAACAGGAGAAGTGGAAGACTGCAGGTGTAGAACAATTGCACAGAGGTAAGAGCAACTATTTCTGCTTGAAGATAACAAGGATGACATGGCACTTGAGTTTGAAGTTTTAGCGTGAGTGGCATTTTAGCACCGCAGAGGTGACATAAGGGCATTCCAGACAGAGGGTACAGCATATGCAGTGGCACAGAGTTAAAATAAAAGCATGGTTGGTTCAGAGAATGGTGCTGAGAGATGCTGGATTGTACGCCACACTAGGAGGTTTGGACTTTATCCTGCAGGCAATGGGAAACTTCGAGCCCACATCTCTCCATCTTGTTCACAAGGATATCAAAAGAGGCTCTGTTAAATGCCTTGCTGAAATCCAGTTACATTATGTCTATGGCACTTCCCTGGTCTTCCAGTCTAGTAGCCCTAACCAAAAAAGGAAATGAAATTAGTTAAGCATTATCAGTACTTAGTAAATCTACAATGGCTCTTAATGATCTCCACTTTTCCCCCATAGGCTCACAATTATCTGTTTAATAATTTGCTTTAGCATTTTGCCAGGATTTATCATGAAACTTATTAGTTGGTACTCAGCAGAATCCTTATTTATTTGAAAATTAGGATATTGAATCTCAAGTATTTTGCACCTCTTCCATCCCTTGGAACTTTTCACGGCAATGACAGTAAATGGTTCTATGATCTCATCTGCAAGAATACTCAACGCTCTACTTTGGTCCAACAACCTGAAACCATTTGAAATTGCTTAAGTGCTCACAATACTGAGCTTTAATTTCTACTTTTGTAAGATATTTTTAGTTTTTTGATATAAAGGGAATTAAGCTTATTATAAAATATTTATAAAATAGAAAAGCCATACAGAAGAAAAAAATCATCCACAGCTCTAGCAGCACCAGGGATGACCATTTATGACATTTTTGTGCATTTCTTTCTAGATTTGCTTCTGTGTGCTTGGTTAATACACCATATTTCATCAAATCTAAAATGTCATCAACTCTAAGGTGCACATTATTTTACACAATTTAAAAAAGAAAGAAAAGACTGGCAGTTATTATATAAGATATCATTAGCTGTAATATGTATCTCAATTCCTGAGATACTGAAATGTAAAAAAAATGCAGCTGATGAAATAGAAAATATTTACTACTGGTATTTTTCAAAAATGTATGTATTTTCTAAACACACTCTTCTTTTATACTCCACATTAGAAAGTTCCTCCCCCCTTAACAACACCTACATTTTCTTCCTTTATGATGTTTAATCCACTGGAACTTTCATTTCCATAAGTTTTATAAGTTTGGACAACCTTTTCATTGACACCCAAGACAAACATAATACAGGAAATGCCACTTTTCTTGTGTAACTTGTTCATACATGCTAGCTTCCTTAAAGAACAGAACTAATTCAAGTTTTTTAACTTCACAGCCATGATAATATGTTCTTCTTGGTATCCTTGGTATTTTTTACAACTCACAGTTCATTCTGGGATTGAGCCAAGCCAAGTTGACCCCATTCTTTATATTTTATTTTGTGTCCTCTACTTTTAGCTTTGGTAAGGATTCACAGCAAATTAAACAAGACTCATTTTAATGCAGTTACTTTCAATTTTCAGTACAGTAAAATTTCAGGACAGTAAAAATATCTTCATATTTAGTATTCTAAAAAGAACATAACATTTTAAAAAGGAATTCCATGACCACTATTTAAGTGGTGGAAAAGAAAGTCAGCTGAATGTGTGGCAATGGCCCTTAGCCTGGAGCCCAGAGACAGCCTTCAGAAAACTATGAGCCCTGAACGGATATGCTAAGCTTTGACATACGTGGTTTTCTACGGGGAACAGTTCCAAAACATTTATTCAGACTTTTAAAGAGATACTTGACACATGATAGTTAATATTTACTGAGCCCTACATGTCCAGGGCACTTAAATCACTTTGTGCGTATAAGGTCTTGTAATCCTCTGAACTACCCTCAAGAGGAGATGTGAATATTACCCCCATTTTATAAATAAGACAAAAGGAGGTAAGTGGCAGAACTGGTCTTTGAACTCAGGGAGACTGTCTCAAACCCACACTTTTATGTATTACACTGGATTGTCAAGTTATAAATCCAAGGAATATTTAAGCTTAAGGCGGTAAGAATATAAGCCATATAGACAATGGTAAAAAGTCAAGTCAAACTAAACTTTTTATAATATCAATGAGTGCTTTCTTGTTCATTTTGCCCTTTTATCTTCTCATCTGAACAATGTCTAGTCACGAGCACATACTCTGAGAAATGAGACATTAAGTCTAAAAGACGAAAACTGGCAAATTCAACATTCAAATTTACCTTGTGGCCCAGGAGATGCCACCTTGGGGCCAGTGATCTCCAGGTTTGTTTGGTAACGATGTCCATTTTCTGCTTGATTTGATTCCACCTTTTTCCCAGGAGTTTTCTTATGATCTCCTTTGGGTTTCTTTACTCGTTTAACCTGGAATGTGATCTGGGAAGCAGAAACATGTTAGGGACAAATGAAACCAATTACTAAATCTGCTAATGACGGTGGCTATCAGATAGTCTTGTGCTAGGGTGAAATTCTCTCTGGTTTAATTCTCAGAGATTTCAATGAAAAATGGTTAGTGAAATGAACAAATCTAGCGTAGAAGCATGTATAGAGGAGACTGAACAGAAAGATGTCTGAATCAGGCACCTGCAAGTCTATAGACTTTGAGTATGGCTTTACACCCACCCCATTTCTTTATGCTTCCCAGAGGAGTTGGCAATCAATGTGAAGGCTGCCCTGGAGGGTGGGGTTAAGAAGGCCACACTGCCAGCAGAAAGTTCACACTCCATGAACTAGGGCCTTCTGAACCCTGCGCTACCATTTCGTGAGGCCCGAGCTGACCACCTCTTACCCATTCTGTTGCTTCATCATCTTCACTTTTGCAGTCTCCATAGCAAGAGCTTCTGGCCACTCCGTCCTGGGGGCCTTTCTTCAGCACGCGTATCCCCTGCAAGTCTAGACGCCGCCCCTTCATCTCCAGTGCTCCACCAAGGCCCTCCAGAGGCCACGCCTGTTGAAATTCATCCACCAAGGCCAGTATCTCTTCTGACATCTTTGTTTCATCTGAATTCTCCATCTCATCGGAACCATTGCTCTCCTCAACCACTGTACCTGAAATTCAAGGGTCAGCATGTGACTAAGTTACTTGTTCAGGCATTTGAGATTCCAACTTGGCTTTTAGAGAAAAGTTTTGGCACTGTTCAGACACTTGTATAGTTCACCTTCAAGAAAAGTACCATTCAGCATCTTCAAAACTGATAATAAAACCCTATCTTTGTCTTCTGGCTTTTCCCAAGGGCCTGGCTGAAAACAGCTATGTTACATATTATTTTTTGGAAGAAGAGCCCTTTAAAACTCAAACTTAAAACTAGGGGCTGGCCTTGTGGCACACTGGGTTAGGCCATTGCTTGCAATGCCAGCATCCCAAAACGGAGTGCTGGTTTGACTCTCAGCTACTTTGCTTCCAGTCCAGCTTCGCTGACAATGTGCCCGAGAAGGCAGTGGAAGATGGCCCAAGTGCTTGGGCCTGTGCCACCCTTATGGAAGACAAGGATGGAACTCCTGACTCCAGGTTTGGCTGGGTCCAGCAGGGACTGTTGCAGCCATTTGGGAAATGAACCAGTAGATGGAATATCTCTCCCTCTCTGTGGCTCTGCTTTTAAAATAAATTAAGTAAAAAAAAAGAACCAAACAAAAAACCCTAAAAACTTGAGTCAGCAGTGTCTCTCAACTCTGGTGGCATCTGCACTTCCCATCCCACCTTCAGTTACAGAAAATGAGAGTCTGATGTCAGTATAGTGGTACTGTTACAAATGTCTAAAGTATTCTTTCTTGAAAAATCTATAGGACTCTTCCAATGGTTAACATATGCCTATGAAATACATAGCAGTCTTTTCCAGTAAAAGAAACTTTCTAGGCTTCTTAACAATCTGCTGATTTCTACTGCTTTTATTAGGACTGTTTGAAACGAGGGTACAGGTTTGCCAAAGAGGAGTTCTAATTTTCAGTTTCTACCTTGTTTGCTACTATTTTCTTAAAGTTCAAAGTTGTCAGTAGACATCCCAGAGAAGCAGCTGGACAGAGTTGCTACCAGGAACCCAAAGAGGAACTGAATTAGAACTGCCTGGTGTCTGACTTGTAGCACCTGAGCTGTCTCTAAGTCCTCTTCATCTTGTTTTAGGTTTCTTCTTCTTCCTTCTTGTATGGCTACCATTGAATTCTTTATATCCAGACCTGAGACAAGGAAGGGTTTTTGATTATTTGGTTTCAGCGGGGGGGAAAAAAAAGACTTAATAAAGTGCCTTTTGGCCAAAGGGAGGCCACAGGTAACTCTTCCCCAGGGTACAGTGAGAGCTGCACAGGGATGCTGCATTTTGTAACTCTGACTAATTGGAGAGCGTTTAGATTGTTCACCAGTGAAGAGTTCAGCAAACCCAGATTCAAAGGTTACAGCTTCCCCGCACCCTGCCATATGGTGATACCAAAACACCTTAGCAGGAAGGACTTTCACTGACGGAAACCAATATTCCAAGGAGGAGAGGCTGCGGAGCTTGCCGCAGCTTTGTGCTGTGGCCGCCGTCGGGCCTTCCCAAGGCTGCTGGTTCCTAAAGAACACCGCTAAGTATGTACGTGTTCTTATATTCTCTCCTCAAGGGTGGGAAATGGGAGGTCACAAAGATGTTGAGTTAGAAAAATAATCCAGCCTTTATTTATTTAGCATTCGGTATGTCTAAGCTGTACAGAAAGCTGTGCTGGGCAGGAGCAAAGAATATGAAAGTTCTGCAGGAATTACATAGAATTTATTTATAATTGTAATTTGGAGACACAGAGCTAGCTACATTAAAAGAGACAAAATACTTTTTCTAGAGGAAAAAATGTTTGAGTGTGAGCACAACATGCTTCTCAGAGTCAGGAGTCAGAACGGAGAACGGGGAGTCACTCGCATGGTAACAACATTTTTTATTTATTTATTTATTTATTTATTTATTTATTTATTTGACAGGCAGAGTGGACAGTGAGAGAGAGAGACAGAGAGAAAGGTCTTCCTTTGCCGTTGGTTCACCCTCCAATGGCCGCCGCAGCCGGCGCGCTGCGGCTAGCGCACCACGCTGATCTGAAGGCAGGAGCCAGGTACTTATCCTGGTCTCCCATGGGGTGCAGGGCCCAAGCACCTGGGCCATCCTCCACTGCACTCCCTGGCCACAGCAGAGGGCTGGCCTGGAAGAGGGGCAAACGGGACAGAATCTGGCGCCCCGACCGGGACTAGAACCCGGTGTGCCGGCGCCGCTAGGCGGAGGATTAGCCTAGTGAGCCGCCGCGCCGGCCTGGTAACAACATTTTAAAAGAAGTACACGCACAGACTCAGGAGCCCACACACGTCCACACAGGGCAAGGGAGCCACGGGGGAGGATGTTTCCAACCTCAAATTAATGAGGACAAAGAATGTGCCTTGGGGACCTCAGCAGACAAGATGCTTAGGGAAGGAGGGTGGCATTACGAATGTCTGTCAGGAAGACAGTAAGCGGGAGAAGAGTAAGATGAGGGTCATACTCCTGAAAGTCAAAGGCTTGGGGTAGTAACTCAGGCACAAGAAGAGAGAGGACGGAGGACAAAGAACCAGTTAAAAAGGCAGTGCACAAGGTCAGTGTTGTGGCACAGTGCAAGTTCCAACTGCTCAGCTTGCAACCCCGTTCCCTGCTGGTGTGCCTGAGAAGGCAACAGAAGGAGGCCCAAGTGCTTGGACCCTGTCACTTACATGGGGAGGCCCAGATGGAGTTCCAGGCTCCTGGCTTTGGCCTGGCTAGCAGCCATGGCCATTGTGGCCATTTGGGGAGTGAGCCAGCGGATGGAAGATCTCTGTCTCTCCCCTTCTCTCTGTAACTCTGCCTTTCAAATAAATAAATCTTTAAAAAACTATTTACTTGAAAGGCAGAGGCAAGGGGGGAAGGGGGGGGGACGGAAAGAGGTATCATCCATCTACCGTTCAATCCACAAATGGCTGAAATTGCCCTTAAGGCATGCGGATCCTGCTGAAATGCCCATGAGACTATTTCAGGCATGGAAAGCCAAGACACTCTGGGGAAAAAACAAAAAACCTAAATGAAAGATCTCCGCGAGTGAGATCCCAGTGGAAAGAACGGGTCATCAAAGAAAGAGGTACCTTTCTCTGAAGGGAGGAGAGAACTTCCACTTTGACCATGGCCTTGTCTAAATATGATCAGAGTCAGTGAACTCAGGAGGCTTCCATAGCCTTGGCAACTCATGACAAGAGCCTAGGGTGATTACTGACGCCATAAACAAGAGTGTCAATTTGTTAAGTCAACAACAGGAGTCACTGTGTACTTACTCCTCATGTAAGATCTTTGTCCTTAGTGTGCTGTACATTGAGATTTAATCCTATAACTAGTACTCAAACAGTATTTTCACTTTATGTTTCTGTGTGGGAGCAAACTGTTGAAAACTTTACTTAATGTATGCTAAACTGATCTTCTGTATATAAAGAGAATCGAAAATGAATATTGATGTGAATGGAAGGGGAGAGGGAGTGGGAAAGGGGAGGGTTGCGGGTGGGAGGGACGTTATGGGGGGGAAGCCATTGTAATCAATATTCTGTACTTTGGAAATTTATATTCATTAAATAAAAGTTAAAAAACAAAACAAAAAAACAAACAAATGGTTGAAATTGCTGGAGCTGGGCCAATCTGAAGCCAGGAACTAGAAGCTTCTTCCAGATCCCCCACCTGCAGGCAGGGGCCCAAGGACTTGGATCATCTCTGCTGCTTTTCCAGGGAGCATTAGCAAGAAGCTGGATCAGAAGTGGAGCAGCTGGGACTTGAACCAGAGCCCATATAGGATGCTGGCACCGCAGACAGTGGCTTTACTCACATCTAGGGACTAAAATATTTTTAAAAATTAAAAAAATAAGTAGTTCACAATCTACAGGTTATACAAGATAACTTCAAAAAGTTAGTGGGAAAATTGAATCAAAAGACAGCTTGCATCTTCTACAACTTTCTGATGTGCCCTCATTTGAAGTTGGCTATCTTAGGGTGAAGGTAAAGAGAATTTGGAAAACGGGAGGAGGAAGAGGTATGTGACAAAATTTTAGTGCAGAAAAATCAGTAACAGGGCAGAATCAAAGATGGTGTCAAGATTTTATAGTTTAATATAAAAGTGGGGTTTTATTCTGTGAATATAGGCTTAGATTCTGTGAACACGAAAACAGAATGCTGTTTACAAAGAATGGAATTAGTCGTGGGCAACAGTATAATGAGATGGGATTTTAGACACTCATTTTTAAGATTTGTTGCTCCTTGTTGCTGTAACAATGTGCTGAGGGCTTGGGACATAAAAACCCATAGTTACTGGGCAAGGCTAGAATGGATGGAGAAGCCTATCTCCAGATACCGTGCTGTGCAGAGAACACTGTCCTACACGACTGTCCTGGGAAGCTGGGAATACAAAAGTCTGGTTTGGTGACAGATCTGGATTGTAAAGGGATCTCAGGTTTTAATTATACTTGGAGAAAGAAGGGTAAGTAAGTGTTAGACTTGCTGCTTGTGGGACAGATGGCAATGATGCAAACTGAACCAGACTGAGACTCTCATATCTATTTTTGCTTTATCTTTACCATGTACCATTTTCACACTGGAAAAAAAGAGAATAAATATTATGAAGGTGAAGAGAACGTGAGTAACCTGTCAAGAACAGCAAGGATGAGCAGATGTGCTGAGATGGAGATAAACATACAGAGTATAATCAAGACAGAAAGTAGCTCAGCACAACCTGTCAGTGTTCTAAACACTCTGGAGAGTCATATTTAAGTCTGGGCACCTCAGTTTAAGAGACTTTCAAAGAGGAGCGCGTTCATTGGTGAAGTACTTAAACCCACATTAAATAAGGGACTGAGGAAACCAAGAGTGACCCAGTGGTAGGCAGAGCAGATGATATATGGCATAAAGTTAGGCTTGAAAAATATCTCACTGGGAAGATTTTTGAAGATTTACAGACAGAGTGCTTCAGAGATGGTAGAAGAACTAGAAGCCATTTATAACTGGACTAGTTCCAGGAAATGAGGGTACTCAGTTGATGGGAAGCAAAGACGTGGGGTG